GAAATATATTTATGTTTGTGGTTGTAATGTGACAAAATATGGAAAAGTTCAAGGGGTATGAATACTTTTGCAAACCACTGTAAGGCTATGTTTCCTGCCCCACATACCAGGAAGAGTTCATTCATAAATGACATTGCAAAGTAAAAAGAAGAACTTCACGAGTTCTGAGATTGAAGTCCTGCTCTCAGAGATCCAGAAAAGAAAATCTGTCATTTTTAGCAGCGTCAGCTGTGGAATTAAAGGAATGAAATTAAACTTCAATTAATGCATAATTTAAGTTGGTTTGTAGTTTGAGATCTTCATATTAAAATTGTTGTGTTATACAACAGCATTAACAGCCAATTTAATTGAATTTTATGGAGTGTGATTTATTTTCAACTCAAAATGTCAACAGTGAGGTCTTTTTTGGGAAATGAGAACATTTTCCCAGTCCTCACTTTTTTTAATTTATTTTATTTTATTTTATTGCAGTTCCACTGCACTCTACTAGTTTCAGAAGTATATGGTGTGAATTAAGTTTTGGTTAGGCATAAATGAAAGTCAATACAACACCCTCAGTTTGATGGAAGTACAAGGATGTAGGTGTGTAACATTAGCATTTTTTTCTAACATGGGCTAATGTTCAAAACGGTAACTTTCACTGTAATGTTCCCTGTTCCAACCTGACTCACTGCAGGGCGGAGCTGTGACATAAGCATGCACCAAACTGTACTGTTGTAACCAACAGGACAATTCAACTGCAGTAGCCACCATTCAACCCATAGAGAGCAGCACCAGGACGGTTTAAGAGAAAATGTTGCAGAATTAAACAGATTTATCTTAAATTTGATTTTGGGTTTAAGTTACTCTTTAAATACCTAACAACTGTCTGTTTTCAGGTAATCGATGCATCACAAAATATTGAGGATGTTCATGACAACATCAAAAGCCACAGCCTTAAAGCCATCAACACAGCAGAGAGAACACCACTGGGAGAGCTGTGGAAGTCAGTCAGCTAAGAAATGTACAAATAATGTACACAGTTCGCTAACTGACTGTTTATACATCCAGTATGAGAGATCACACACAGAGTTGTCAAAGAATCCGTTTTTATTTTTTGTTTTGAAACTGCATTTCTATTATTTCTAAGTTTTTGATTAAATAAATAATTTTCAACTAGTGTACATGTTTTAAACTCTGCAAGGTTACTTTGCATTATGACTAATACAACTTGCCTGCAGATTTGACTTTGTTTCTTTACAGGCTGTTAGACTTCAGTTATTATTATTAGTGACAAACTGTGTTAAGCCATCGGCGCCATGAACCATATTTAGTCTATTGAACATAAAACCATTATGGCAACTTTACTTACAGGGGTCGGGGAAAGGCACCATATCACTTCAGCATAAACATTGAAAGTGTTAAGACTCAAATGGAAAAACAAAAAAAAGTGTGAAGATGTGCATACAGAATTGATCCTGAGCTGCTGCTACAGCGTCCATTGGGCAAGTCTCCATGTTGGGATACGAAGAGCAATCAGAGGCTGATGAGAAGAATGATGTGAAACACAGACTGCCCCACTGAGCCGGACTGGCTGAAGAAGCCTCCAATAAATGTTCGTCCTCTCGGGGTTTCCTTTCTGATTCAGAGAAGAGATGGAGAGTTTTCCGCTCGCTGCTGAGAACCGCAAATCATAGTTCATGACATTCTTCACAAGGACAGGATCTCAAACTCCTCGTCTTCTGAATCGAAGAACCGTTCCAGTCTGTCTGAGTCTGAGAAATCTGCAACCGAAGTTGAAAATAAGCAAAATTTAGTTTCATGAACAGGATTTATATAATGTTTTAAAATAAAGGTGCTCTTTATTTACCAGGAGTAAGGTTAAGTGCATCAACGCTGACCATGTGGGCGGGTTGACTGTCGACCAATTCAAACATGGGCAGCCCTCCTTTCTTGCAGGTCAGCTACAAACATTTTAACACGTTTAAATAATTATTAAAAAAATGTTGCTTTGTTCAGACGACGGATCAGAACAGTGCAGAGAAACTTACTCTTCTTATGCGCATGCACCAGTCGTCAAACTCATCTTCTGTTCTGCAGAAAAAACCCTGCAGGAGCCAAGAACATCAGTTACACTTCAGCTTTTCTGCTTTCTCTCCAACAGTTTGGAGTTCTGTGTGAAAGTTAAAACTGAGGGCTTCGCAAAACTGAAGAGGGTGTCGAAACGATGCCCCTCTAACTAAAAGTCTGGCCCAAGACCAAAATGAGGAGGAAAAAAACGGTCAGAAAACAGCTCTAAAATTTAAATTCAATCACTATTGTTGATTTCTAGTTACCTGATTATTTATAACATTCATTATTTACAAAAGTAAACGACAAGAAACCTAAGCATCCAGGGGTCAGTATACACA